GTTGTTTCTGTTTTTAAGGTAAATTTTGTCGAGTACTAAAACGCTCGTTTATATCCGAACAACCTAATATATCGACGGTCGACTTCGAGGCGGATTTGACTTCCCTGTGGCGAATTGCCACTGCTCTGCAGTTAGTCAAAAATTCAATACACAAGTTAAAATTCAAAGTTGATGGATAAACTACCGTAATCAGTCACTAGACCATATTCAGCTGTCCGTTTGTTGTAGCTTGTATACTTAAAAAACCGGTTATTTAAGCTTTGCGTGAGTTTCGTTCTCCTTTTTTTCACATGCAAGTGTTGAATTAATTGTGATAGTGTCAGGCTGCTCGAATTGAGCAACCTGACAGTTTGAGCGTTCGAAGTTTGAGCGAAGTTTGCCCTAATAAGTGAAAGTTTGATAAATTGTGCGCTTTCAAGACGACCACTATTGAACCACACCGAGACACGGTATCACAAGAAATTATATAGATCAAATCATAAACATATATTTCTTACATTCCCCTAGTCTCACCAAATCCTGATTTTTTAATTTTTTTTTGATTTGAAATGGCACAACTATATTGTACTTTAAGGTTTCTTAAATAATTTCAGTGTTTTTTTTGGCCCAAAGACGACTAAGAAAAAGCCCGTACAGACGGACAGACGGACACTGCTCTTTTATATATACACTGCTCCACATAATTATAAGTTCACCTCTGAATTTTACGATAACTTGGTCGGCTTTGAAGAACTTTCAAAGAAGAAAATATGCCAAATATGAATATTAATTTGCATGCCAAAAGCAAATTTGCATTAAAAAATGGAAAAAATTTTTGGTCCCTTCAATTTCGTTATAGAGAGAGTCGACTGTATCCTTTATAAATGCTGCTACCGCTTTGCGGGTAAAACTTCGACTTTCTTCTCGATCACTTGCATTGTTGTGCTTCGATCAACATGAACTTTTCGAAAAAGCAGTGAATAATATCCTTTCACTAGCAATTTAACTCGTGGATATAAAGTGTTCATTCTCATAACCACCGAATGGCCATTGAAAAAACAAGGCACAACTCGATCCATTACTGAAGACAAGAATAAAACTAGCGAATTCTTCAAATTATCACCTCAAAAAGGAAAATTAACGTCAAATTCAGCTAATTGAAATACAGTCGAACCTCTCTATAACGTAACTCACGGGACGGCTATAGCTTACGTTATATAGAGGTTTACGTTATATAGAGTACCGTTTTATATAGCTTAACGTCAGCCGGGACCGGTCACGCCTTACGTTATATAGAGGTTTACGTTATATCGAGTTTTGTTATAGAGAGGTTCGACTGTACAAATAATATAGTGATCGATAAAACGATAGTACTGATTGCGATCATTTGAGGGAAAACCTAAAAAGTAACTGTAAAACGACTCTTTCTAAAGTTCTCAAAATAAAAAAACACACCATAAACGTTGTGGAATAGATGGCTTTTCGATGAAGATCCTTTGTGCGTTGACTGTACGAGTGATTGTGATCAAGTGCGAATGAGATTCTGAAAAATTCGTCGGATGTTAGAGTAGGTAAAACATTGACATGGGCTTTTTGTAGGTAACAATCCTTTTTTTTGCTTATTCCCTCACTTGTACAGACATATATGCACAAAAAAGAAGAAAACGACACTATACAATGCGTATACGCCAAGAAAATATCTGAAGTAGATGTTGAGATCATCATTGAAATAGAGAACATTTGATGGGATTAGTTCTGCATAGTTCTGAACGTTTTAGCTGTACAATAATCGCAACAATAACAACAACAATACAAAACAAAAATCACTTACTGGATCAATGATCGGAATAGCGCTTTTATCGACATTCATCATTGAGATGAGAAAGAGAAATGGCGTTAAAAAAGGCCACCAAAATAATTGATAATAATGAAAATGGGTCTCCTTGAGGGAATATGAACTGGAAATAATTGTTGTGGTAGGTAATAAAAGTAAATGGATTCATTTTTAGATATGGATCTCCTTGAGGATGTTGTTCTTGTGAGCTCATTTCCTTTTTCGCACAGATTTTTTTTGTTTTGTTTGATTCACATGTTTTGTATCTTTTGTAGAGAATAAATAATTGTTGTGGTAGGTAATAAAAGTAAATGGATTCATTTTATAAATCTTAAATTTACTAAATCTCATTTCTTTTCCTTGCTGGATGATTTTTACAATGTCACTTTTTGATCTCTTTTTCTAACTAGCTAGCTAATATTAGGTAGGTTGAGTAAAAATTTTTAATAAGCTCTGTTGTTTTTTTGTTTCATCAAAGAGCAAACCATAGCTTTTTATAAATGATAATTAGACGGTTTAGCTTTGGGCAAAGTTTCATCCCGATCTAATGGTTGAGCTTCAAGCAGAAGGCTTTTGTTTACAATCCGTCGATTTGGACTATAAGCTTCTGGGAACCAGATTTTTCTGCTACCCTTAAACATTTCCAGTCAAAAGTTGCCAATGTGAAGTAGATATTTTAAAGAAGATAATTCCAATAAAACATATATAAAGTAGTTTTTCGAAAAGTCTCCTTGAGGGTCTCCTTGAGGGAATATGAACTGGAAATAATTGTTGTGGTAGGTAATAAAAGTAAATGGATTCATTTTTAGATATGGATTTTGTTCTTGTGAGCTCATTTCCTTTTTTAGGCACAGATTTTTTTTTGTTCTGTTTAATTCACATGTTTTGTATCTTTTGTAGAGAATAAATAATTGTTGTGGTAGGTAATAAAAGTAAATGGATTCATTTTATAAATCTTAAATTTACTAAATCTCATTTCTTTTCCTTGCTGGATGATTTTTACAATGTCACTTTTTGATCTCTTTTTCTAACTAACCCAATTCTTTGCCCACAGATCAAGTAGAGACGAAAGAAAATGCATTGCAATTGCAATATACAGGCACTAATGAAAAGAAACATGTGGAGAACCTAGAAAACCTAGAAAATTATGAGTTTTGAAAGCATTCTTGAACATCCTTACAAGAAAAATGATAGAGTTGATCGGTAAATCTAGCCAAACTCCTTGCACAACAATTGCCACATTCGGGAGATGACCAATCGGGTTTGTTAGCACAATGTCGACTTCCATTGCGTAAACAATTATCTGGAAAACAAGATCGAGTAAAAATAAAGAGATTACGTTAAATATACCAAAGTTGACAGGTTTTAGAAAATATATTCTTTAATAGAAGCACTTTTTAGTTTAACCCACATGAGTAACGACTAAATAAATCGTATGTGCACGGGCATCTTTCAATTTTTCAGTCAATAGCACATAAAGACCGGCAAAACAGAAACAACTCGATAGAGAGATCATGACCAAATTGTAGAGACGAAAAGCCGCAATTGCTGTGGTGCTCAGAGAGTCTTTCATGGTGAAATCACAATCGAAGTTGTGGTGTAACCTTAATTTGTTGTATGAAACCAATGTCTAATGATGCCACTTCAGACACCTGCTGGATAAAGTTTTTGAAATAAGCTTTACATCAATTTGCAGCTGAAATATTTTTTTCGAGTAAAGAGTACCGAATCTTTGATTTGAAAGAAGTAGAAAAAGGTTTGTCAAATTTGCAAATTTTCCAAAAACAAAAGCATTTTCTCGTTTTCAATTGTGATTTCAAGATATCATTGAACGTTTATCCAAAAAGTATCGGTTCAAAACGACTATTCTCTCCATTTTACTCGTCGATCCTCCTCAAAAATCAAATACCATCATCTCGTGGAAAAAAGCTACGATTTAGGCAAGCATCTATTGCTTTAAAACCCTATGAAACTTTGAAGCAAAGTTAGCCACATGCTTGACTCCCTAAAGTTTCCTTTTTACGAATAAATTGATTAGGACTTCGATGTTTTGATTTATCGAGTTAGGGATCAGTGTGATGTACAACAATTCAAAAGATTGAATCGTTGAAATGAGCGCAATAACGTGTTTTTTGAATCGGCTAACAACGCCGAGATTCAAGTTTTCTTTGATTTTTTTGCTTGTTGTTTTTTCTTAGCTTTTTCTTTACTTTTCTGACCATAAATGATATGGGTTGACCATTATCATAAAAGCGATCGTTTAGTTGTAATACCAAATGTTCGTCGTCCTTTGTATCAATCTGTATTTCAATGCAGATCTCTTCAATTCGTTTGGAAGGAATGATAGTGGGAGACGAGATTTGAGACGAGCAAGCTGGGAACGAGGCCATAAATGAATTGAAGATGAATATTCAGATTTCAGAATGATTTTCTCTGTTATTAGCATTAAATATCAACGGTTTTGATGTGTAATTGTAAATGAGATATATTTTTGAGACATTTAAGGTGGTGTCCTCCTAATTTGATACCACTATGCCTGCAGCAGAATGGGAGACCATTTTGCCTTGACATTTTTCTAGCCGAGATCCAAAGATTTATTCAATAAATAGTGATATTTGAGCAGATATTTGACGAGTTTTCTTCAGAAATTTGTTCTGATTTCAGTTTGATCGAGCCTTATGAAGAAAATATGACTAGGCCTAAAGGGAAACCCATTTCCTCGCTGACGTAGGGAAACCAATTTCCTCGCCATAAAATCGCCACTTCAAAAAAACTTTCGAAGGTTTTTGCAGCAATAAAGTTTTAATTGTCTTCTGATAAAGCAAATTTCGATTGAATACATTTCGATTGATTTGATTGATTCAAAGTCATTCAAAGTTTAAGAAAAGTACAATTTTAAGAAATATAGAGACTAAATAGATCGATAAACCGATAGATTTGTTTCAGTTGTTGGGCTCATGAGAAGGATGAGGGTGCGCAGTAAAATACAAAGTCTGACGGTTCCACAGAAAGCCCAAAGGCACAATGTAAGCAAAAAACCCAAGATATGGGTTTAACGATAAGTCCAGCTGACATCATTGTGAACCTTGAACCATTCTGATGGTATAAAAGAAGTGAAAATTAGGTTAAAAGCTGAGAAAAATTGATTTACTGATAAGCTCTCCAGTCTGGCATTTACTTTTCTAAAATGATTCCTGAAGCTCTTTCAGATTTTTATTTCCGCCTAAATGAATTCGAGAAGAAGCTCGATATTCAGGCTGGCGGTTTTCGGAAAGTTTCCTACAATAAGTTGAACAAGTAGGTTTTAAAATAAAGCTTTCTAAAAGTTGCAGGAAATATTGCCAAAATTCACTTGTCAGGATTAGAATTTAGCCAAGATGTGGCCATAAAAATGATGGAGGATCCGAAGGAGATTCTCCAAGAAGCAATTAAGCATAGACATGTCAAAGATTCCAAGTTTATTGTTGAGGTAAGATTTGAATAAACTCTAAATGTAGTCGAAGCCTCCAGATACTCGGAGTCATTTTTGATGAGAATGATTCGCCGAAAGGTTTGGCACTCGAGTTGTGCTATTTGGGAACGCTTTATCATGGTGATTTCGTAATTTCTTTGTATCATTGGATTTGAAGTTTTTTTTTCTTTTGCACAAGGTTCTGGATAAATCAGAATGGTTCAAAGTTCACAATAATGTCAGTTAGACTTATCGTTAAACCCATATCTTGAATTTTTGCTTACATTGTGACTTTGGGCTTTCTGTAGAACTGTCAGACTTTATCTTTTTACTGTGAATGAGTCAGAATATAACGCTAGAATTTTTGCTACTGAAAACACTGAAAAACTAAAACTACCATCACTGAAAAACTTCAGTAAAATGAATTGTAAATAAAATCTCTATAGTGATTATGGGCTGGGAAGTGTATACACTTTACAACATCTCTCATATCGTCCTTTGGATGGAGCAATTGGCCTCGGTGTTGCTCTACTTGAAAGAAAAAGAGCTCGTTCATCGGGATCTCAAGCCTCTCAAGTGAGATCAGGGAAAATGATGGAGTTGACACAATTTCAGTATTCTGATGTTCGACAAATACCGTGAGATTCGCGTCTGTGATTTCGGCATCTCAGCCTGGGAAGAAACTGTGGTAAGACTGGCGGGAACAGTCAGCTTCATTGCGCCAAATCCGGTGAGCAAATTTTGTGAAAAATCAAATGAAATAATGAATGAATGATTGGGAAATGAAAAAACTGAAGGTTTGCCTTAATTGCACAGCATTGCTACACTTTTGAGAAATCAAAAATTCATCAATTCAGTCGATTCACTTCGCCGATCATCGAGATGCCATGTACAGTGTGGGGATGATTCTGTGGCAACTCATCTTCAGAAAGTTTGCAGAGATTTCAAGTTATCTATAGAGTGGCTTATTATTTTAGGTGCAAATCACTAGACTAGACAGAATAATCCATCGGATTGAGATCCGGCGAGCTGAGTGGCCATTCAGAAAAAGATATGAAATCGGGAAACTTCACTTTACACAAAGCTTGGACTTTCTTGGCTTTGTGCCCTGAAGCCCCGTTTTGTTGGAATGTCTAAATTTAATTTTTGAGTTCCTTTTCTGCTCAGTGCAAACTTTGGGGAGCGAGATATTTAATAATAATAGACACGTATCCCATTGCCACTAAGGTAGGGCCTTATGCCTTACTATATTATACGGAATTATCCCCACAATTATAGGTCACCCTATAACTTTTTCATTATAGACATCCATATCTTGACAGCAATGCTAAAAATCTGGCAATTGATAACGATGATGTGTTGGAAAGAGTGGGGAATGGGGAAAGATTGCCGCTTGATGAGACACATTCATCCATTCAGGAAGTGATCTCGGGGTGAGATTCTCTACGATTTGGATTCATTTGATTGATAGTCATTCAAGGTCTAAGAAAAGTACAGTTTTAAGAGATACATATTAGGTTGTCCAATAAGTAATGCGTGTTACTTATTTCGAAACTATTGCAAAATCGCTTCGAGCAAATATATGCTCTTTTTAATCATCGGCATCTTGTGTTTATTTTTATATATTATTTTATTCATTCGCCTTTGTTTTATGATAGATATGTTGTTTTGCAGATGAAAGGCAAAAAGTTTGTTGTCCGCGCATCAATGCTGTATGATTTCAAACGAGGTAAAACTGCGGCGGATTGCCATCGAACTATCTGTGCCGCATTTGGAGAGGATTCAATTTCAATCAGCCAGTGCCAGCGCTGGTTTAAACGATTTGCGGACGGAAACGAGTCAAAAGTGTTGACGAGGTGCAAAAATGGCTGGACGATTTCTTCTCATCGAAACCAGCTTCATGCTATTATGACGGACTTCACTCTTTGCTAGGACGATGGAGAAATGTTGTTGATTGTTGTGGAGAATATATTGATTAATAAAGTTCTCTTTTGTTAATTGTGTGATATTTTGAAAATCGTGTCAAAACACGCATCACTTATTGGACAACCTAACAGATTAAATAGATCGAAAAACCGATAGATTTCTTTCAGTTGTTGGGCTCATGAGAAGGATGAGCGTTTGAGTCCTCAAGAACTATACGACAAGATGGCTGAGTGGCGAGAGAAGGTGAGGTTGGATTGGACCTTCCAGATTGGACTAATTTTAAGACTTTAATGCTATAAAATCCCAGCTTATTATGGTAATACACAAAGTAGCTCCCTGAGATCACTACAAGATCGGTTTCAGATTCAAACATCGATGAAAAACCTGAAATCTCCGCGTCTCTTGAAAGAGCCCTACTCCTTTGTCCGACCTCATGGAACGGTAAAATTGAGAAATTTTTGTGTTATTCAAAGTTTAAGAAGGTTCAAAGGTGTCATCCAAAGATTTTTAATCTTATTGAACTTTAGTTTTCATGCACTCACATAAATCTCGGTGCTGATTATCAAAAAGTAAAAGATCTCGGGTTCTGCGTTCCGAAATTTGCAAATCTCATTCACAGTCCAAGAGACAGTTAGTTTTCAAAAAGGTTCCAAGTGAAAAAGTGGATTCAGATCGTGATTGGCGTCACAACAAAAAGCTGATCGTTGTGTACAACAAAGCGACAAAAGAGGCACAAGTTATGGCAAAAGAGATGAAAAAAGCGGAAAGGGAAGCAAAGGAAAAGATCAATAATGTGAGTTGGATGAAAGTTAAAGCAAAAAAATTATCAGAATGCCTGCAAGAATCAAACTTGTAGCCATCCTTTTAGGCAAAAATCAAAAAGCCATTTGGACAACCATTATGGGATGTTGGTGACACGATGATTGGATGGATTAAAACAATTCTTTCGCTTATATTTCTCATTTTACAAACCGCATACCACGCATTTTTCCCGAAAATTCTTCGAGGGACTATCTTTATTTCGATTTCTTTGGCAATTCTTGCAATTTTTGTATATTTCACTTTGAATTATTCACCTGAAAACGATTGGTTCAACCAGAAAAAGTACATCAATCGATTCTGGAGATACTACAAAAATTTGAAAAGAGACGAACGTTTTTCGATGCTTTTCTTATGATATTTCATCATTTCGATTATTGCAAAGAAATCTATTAAATTGGATTATCAAAGTCGTCAAATTAAACGTGATATTGATTGAAGCCAGATCTAGAATCGAAAACATTGTCTGCGAATAACCAAAATGTGTGTGTTGACTTTAAAACAACTTTCCAAAACTAAACAAAATTTATTTCCTTGAACGTTTAACTCTAGTCGAGCTCATCGATTACTTTGGCGTTTTATTGGATGAAGTTCTCGACTTTTGATCAGCTCTTATAAACAAATAAGTTGTTAAACCACTAAACTCAATTTTTTTGAACAAATCAATCAACTCACCCAATCCAAAGGTGTCCGCCATTCATTTTTAGAAAGCTCCAAATCTGATGGATAAATTATTTCACAATTGGACACGATCATTTTGCAAACCGCATACCACCACATTCAAGCATTTTTCCCGCAAATTCTTCGAGGGGCTATCTTTATTTTGATTTTTCTTTCAATTCTTTCAATCTCTGTTTATTTCACTTTGAATTATTCACCTGAAAATGAGTGGTTCAACCAGAAAAAATACATCAATCGATTCTGGAGAATCTACAAAAATTTGAAAAGAGACGAACGTTTTTCGATGCTTTTCTTATGATATTTCATCGTTTCGATTATTGCAAAGAAATCTATTAAATTGAATTATCAAAGTTGTCAAATTAAACGTAATATTGATTGAAGCCAGATCTAGAATCGAAAACATTGTCTGCGAATAACCAAAATGTGTGTGTTGACTTTTAAACAACTTTCCAAAACTAAACAAAATTTATTTCTTTGAACTTTTTATAACGATTTATTCATATAAGCCCATAATTTTTACATCATTTAATAAAGTAAAGAATTGGCAAAGAAAAAAATGTGAATGGCAGAGAGTTTGGAACCCAATGGGGAATTGAATCCTCGACCTTCTGCTTACCGGGCAGATGCTCTACCATTGAGCTACCGGCGCTTTCTATACCACAGAAGAAATAAGAAAGACAAGGAAGAGAAAGAAAGGAAGAAGTTAAAAATCTGCCGGAATAATCCCAGTGGCATGTGGTCAGTAAAAGAGATGAAGCTCTGGAAATTCTAGCCATTCAGCAATTGGATCGAATGAGAGAGAACATTTTCACAAGGAGAATTTATTTCAGGAGTTATTTTTTGCCACAAACCAGGAAGCAATGGCTTTCTTTGCCTGGGTTGAGTGGTTGCATTAGACCTGTTCCAGAAGATACGCATTGTTTCATAAGCAAAGATTTGACAGAGGCTAGGGGATTTGAAGGAACTTGGATTAAAGCTGGAGTTGACGAGAAATTTGTGAGACTCAAAAAAGAGTTTCGATTATGATCTCAATTTTTTCACTGTTGATCCAGCGGAGTGTTTAAAAGAATTTAGGGATCTTGATCAAAATCCAAAGAAGCATTTGATTCAAATCAAACAGGAATGGCTAGAATTTCCACAGCTTCATCTCTTTTACCGACCACATGCCACTGGGAATATTCCAGCAGATTTTTGACTTCTTCCTTTCTTTCTCTTCCTTGTCTTTCTTATTTCTTCTGTGGTATAGAAAGCGCCGGTAGCTCAATGGTAGAGCATCTGCCCGGTAAGCAGAAGGTCGAGGATTCAATTCCCCATTGGGTTCCAAACTCTCTGCCATTCACATTTTTTTCATTGCCAATTCTTTACTTCTTTACTTTATCACGTTTCATTTGACAACGTTGATAATTCAATTTAATAGATTTCTTTGCAATAATCATTTTATCATAAGAAAAGCATCGAAAAACGTTCGTCTCTTTTCAAATTTTTGTAGATTCTCCAGAATCGATTGATGTACTTTTTCTGGTTGAACCACTCGTTTTCAGGTGAATAATTCAAAGTGAAATATACAAAAATTGCAAGAATTGCCAAAGAAATCGAAATAAAGATAGTCCCTCGAAGAATTTTCGGGAAAAATGCGTGGTATGCGGTTTGTAAAATGAATTGAATAAAATGAAAAATTTGTAAAATGAATATAAGGGAAAGAATTGTTTTAATCCATCCGATCATCGTGTCACCAACATCCCATAATAGTTGTCCAAAGAGGATTTTTGCCTAAAAAGATGGCTACAATTTTGATTCTTGCAGGCATTCTGATATCTTTTTGCTTTAACTTTCATCCAACTCACATTCTTGATCTTTTCCTTTGCTTCCCGTTCCGCTTTTTTCATCTCTTTTGCCACAACTTGTGCCTCTTTTCTCGCTTTGTCCTTTGCTTCCCTTTCCGCTTTTTTCATCTCTTTTGCCACAACTTGTGCCTCTTTTGTTGCTTTGTTGTACACAACAATCATCGATTTGTTAAGCAGCAAATCATGATCTGAATCCACTTTTTAACTTCAAACTTTTTGAAAACGAACTGTTTCTTGGATTGTGAATGAGATTTGCAAATTTCGGAACGCAGAACCCGAGATCTTCAACTTTTTGATAATCAGCACCGAGATTTATGTGAGTGCATGAAAACTAAAGTTCAATAAGATTAAAAATCTTTGGATGAAACCCTTGAACCTTCTTTGAATGACTCCTAAACTTTGAATGACACAAAAATTTCTCAATCTTACCGTTCCATGAGGTCGGACAAAGGAGTAGGGCTCTTTGAAGAGACGCGGAGATTCAAACTTTTTCATCGATGTTTGAATCTGAAATCGACCTTGTAGTGATCCCAGGGAGCTACTTTATGTATTACCATAATAAGCTGGGATTTTATAGCATTAAAGTCTTAAAATTAGTCCAATCTGGAAGGCCCAATTTAAATTGTTAATAGCATTCTCACCTTCTCTCGCCACTCAGCCATCTTGTCGTATAGTTCTTGAGGACTCAAACGCTCATCCTTCTCATGAGCCCAACAGCTGAAAGAAATCTATCGGTTTATCGATCTATTGATTCTATATATTTCTTAAAACTGTACTCTTCTTAAACCTTGAATGACTATCAATCAAATCATTCCAAATCTTAGAGAATCTCACCCCGAGATCACTTCCTGAATGGATGAATGTGTCTCATCAAGTGGCAATCTTTCCCCATTCTCCACTCTTTCCAACACATCATCGTTATCAATTGCCGGATTTTCAGCATTGGAGTCAAGATATGGATGTCTATAATGAAAAAGTTCTAGGGTGACCTATAATTGTGGAGATGATTCCGTATAATATAGTAAGGCATAAGGCCCTACCTTAGCGGCAATGGGATATTATTATGTCTATTATTATTAACTATCTCGTTCCCCAAAGTTTGCACTGAGAAAAGGAACTCAAAAAAAAGGAACTCAAAAATTAAATTTAGACATTCCAACAAAACGGGGCTTCAGAGCACAAAGCCAAGAAAGTCCAAGCTTTGTGCAAAGTGAAGTTTCCCGATTTTATCTCTTTTTCTGAATGGCTACTCAGTTCGCCGGATCTCAATCCGATGGATTATTCTGTCTAGTCTAGTGATTTGCATCTAAAATAATGTAGATCTATGTAGCCACTCTGTAGATAACTTGAAATCTTTGCAAACTTTCTGAAGATGAGTTGCCACAGAATCATCCCCACACTGTACATGTCATCTCGATGATCGGCCAAGTGAGTCGACTAAATTGATGAATTTTTGGTTTCTCAAAAGTGTAGCAATGCTGTGCAATTAAGGCAAACCATCAGTTTTTTCATTGCCCAATCATTCATTCATTATTTCATTTGATTTTTCACAAAATTTGCTCACCGGATTTGGCGCAATGAAACTGACTGTTCCGGCCAGTTCTACTACAGTTTACGATACGTGTCTATTATTATTAAATATCTCGCTCCCCAAAGTTTGCACTGAGCAGAAAAGGAACTCAAAAATTAAATTTAGACATTCCAACAAAACGGGGCTTCAGGGCACAAAGCCAAGAAAGTCCAAGCTTTGTGTAAAGTGAAGTTTCCCGATTTCATATCTTTTTCTGAATGGCCACTCAGCTCGCCGGATCTCAATCCGATGGATTATTCTGTCTAGTCTAGTGATTTGCACCTAAAATAATAAGCCACTCTATAGATAACTTGAAATCTCTGCAAACTTTCTGAAGATGAGTTGCCACAGAATCATCCCCACACTGTACATGGCATCTCGATGATCGGCGAAGTGAATCGACTGAATTGATGAATTTTTGATTTCTCAAAAGTGTAGCAATGCTGTGCAATTAAGGCAAACCTTCAGTTTTTTCATTTCCCAATCATTCATTCATTATTTCATTTGATTTTTCACAAAATTTGCTCACCGGATTTGGCGCAATGAAGCTGACTGTTCCCGCCAGTCTTACCACAGTTTCTTCCCAGGCTGAGATGCCGAAATCACAGACGCGAATCTCGCGGTATTTGTCGAACATCAGAATACTGAAATTTTGTCAACTCCATCATTTTCCCTGATCTCACTTGAGAGGCTTGAGGTCCCGATGAACGAGCTCTTTCTCTTTCAAGTAGCGCAACACCGAGGCCAATTGCTCCATCCAAAGGACGATATGAGAGATGTTGTAAAGTGTATGCACTTCCCAGCCCATAATCACTATAGAGATTTTATTTGCAATTCATTTTACTGAAGTTTTTCAGTGATGGTAGTTTTAGTTTTTCAGTGTTTTCAGTAGTAAAAATTCTAGCGTTATATTCTGACTCATTCACAGTAAAAAGATAAAGTCTGACAGTTCTACAGAAAGCCCAAAGTCACAATGTAAGTGAAGTCCGTCATAATAGAATGAAGCTGGTTTCGATGAGAAGAAATCGTCGAGCCATTTTTGCACCTCGTCAACACTTTTGAACTTGTGTTCTCCAAGAGCGTGCGCCATCGAACGGAACAAATGGAAATCAGATGGAGCCAGGTCTGGACTATACGGCGGATGTGGGACAGTCGACCATCCAAGCTTCTCAATCTTCTGCTGTGCGATTTTTGCAATATGCGGACGAGCATTGTCAAACTGCAGTTTAATCATCGAAGTGTCCTCTCCTTTACGACAAAGAGCTTGCTGCACTCTTTCCAATTGTTGAGAGTACAAGTCAGCAGTGACCATTTGACCGGGGTTTAGAACTTCAAAATGTACGATTGCTTTAGAATTCCACCATACGCACAATAGGGTCTTCTTTCCATGCAATTCTGGCTTTGGCGTCGGTTTCGGATCTTCTCCCGGCGACATCCACTGGTGCTTCCTCGTTGCATTGTCAAAAGAAATCCACTTCTCGTCCGCAGTAACGATGGAATCAATAAAACCAGAGTTCTTTGTTTGGCCAATGAGAAACCCACAAATTGATACAAGAGCAGCTTTATTCGCTTCACTCAATTTGTGGGGAAGCCACTTTTCGCATCGATTAAATTTTCCAATCTCATGGAGATGATTGTCGATTGTTGATTTGGAACAACCAAATAATTCGGCCAACTCACGAGTAGTTTGAGTTGGATCAGACTCAACGGTGTTAAGCAAAGCTTCGTTATCAAAAACGACTGGCCTTCCAGCGCGTTCCTCGTCCTCTAACGACTCGTTTCCGTCCGCAAATCGTTTAAACCAGCGCTGGCACTGGCTGATTGAAATTGAATCCTCTCCAAATGCGGCACAGATAGTTCGATGGCAACCCGCTGCGGTTTTGCCTCGTTTGAATTCATACAGCATTGATGCGCGGACAACAAACTTTTTGTCTTTCATCTGCAAAACAACATATCTATTATAAAACAAAGGCAAATCAATAAAATAATATATAAAAATAAACACAAGATGCTGATGATTAAAAAGAGCATACATTTGCTCGAAGCGATTTCGCAATAGTTTCGAAATAAGTAACACGCACTACTTATTGGACAACCTAATACAAAGAAATTACGAAATCACCTTGATAAAGCGTTCCCAAATAGCACAACTCAAGTGCCAAACCTTTCGGCGAATCAGTCTCATCAAAAATGATTCCGAGTATCTGAAGGCTTCGACTACATTTAGAGTTTATTCAAATCTTACCTCAACAATAAACTTGCAATCTTTGACATGTCTATGCTTATTTGCTTCTTGGAGAATCTCCTTTGGATCCTCCATCATTTTTATGGCCACATCTTGGCTAAATTCTAATCCTAACAAGTGTATTTTGGCAATATTTTCTGCAACTTTAGAAAGGTTGATTTTAAAACTTACTTGTTCAACTTATTGTAGGAAACTTTCCCAAAACCGCCAGCCTGAATCTCGAGTTTCTTCTCGAATTCATCTAGGCGGAAATAAAAATTTGAAAGAGCTTCAGGAATCATTTTAGAAAAGTAAATACGAGAATGGAGAGCTTATCAGTAAATCTATTTTTCTCAGCTGCTTTTAAGACATAGTAAAAGCTTTAAAATCGATTTCCTTTATCAGAAGACAATTAAAACGTTTTTGCTGCAAAAACTTTCGAAAGTTGATTGAAGTGACGACTTTGTGGAGCCACACGTCAGCGAGGAAATGGGTTTCCCTTTTAGTGCTAGTCGTATTTTCTTCATAAGGCTCGATCAAACTAAAATCAGAACAAATTTCTGAAGAAAACTTTGTCAAATACCTGCTTAAATATCACTATTTATTGAATAAATCTTTGGATCTCGGCTAGAAAAATCTCAAGGCAAAATGGTGTCTCATTCTGCTGCAGGCATAGTGGTATCAAATTAGGAGGACACCACCTTAAATGTCTCAAAAATATATCTGTCATTTACAATTACACATCAAAACTGTTGATATTTAATGCTAATAACAGAGAAAATCATTCTGAAATCTGAATATTCATCTTCAATTCATTTATGGTCTCGTTCCCAGCTTGCTCGTCTCAAATCTCATCTCCCACTATCACTCCTTCCAAACGAATTGAAGAGATCTGTATTGAAATATAGATTGATGCAAAGGACGACGAACATTTGGTATTACATCACACATCACGTTGTGATGTACAACGTGTACACTGACCCCTAACTCGAGAAATCAAAACATCAAAGTCCTAACCAATTTATTCCTAAAAAGGAAACTTTAGGGAGTCAAGCATGTGGCTAACTTTTATTTTAACAAATTTTCAGACTTTTGTGAGGATTGTTTCGAAGATCGCGAACAATTCCTTTGGCGAGGAAAAAGGAAAAATCTACTAATCATAGCTAGAATTACGGAGGATGAAGATAGAATGCTTCCCCAGAAGATCATCGTGAAAACTTTTCTCAACAATTTTGTCTTTGACAAGCAAAAGAAGATTGTCAGCCTCTAAAATTTCTCCGATTTTATCAACTTTTAGAGCTTGTTGCTCTTGGAATCAAATACAAATCAAAAAATAAATAAAATACCATCATCTCGTAGAAAAAAAGCTACGATTTAGGCAAGCATTTATTGCTTTAAAACCCTATGAAACTTTGAAACAATTCTTTGAAACAATACCATCAAAATTCTCTTTTAAATATTAACCATTGAAATCTAAAGTGCAACTCGCAACTATGCTTCCGAGCAATTCCGAGCATCTCTCCCACCCGAAATCACTGACTTCTGACTCGACGAACCAAAAAACTAAAAACTTTAAGCTCTATAGACAAATTTGGATGAATCTGATTCCAGCCTTTACTTCAAAAGATATAATTTTCACCTCTTATCATCTTGCCTTGGAGGGATCTTGACTTGACTTGACTGATCAAGGGACTTGACTTATCATCTACAAGGGAAATGCTGAGGCGAAAAGTCATATTACCACGAAAATTGCGACCAAATGCCCCTGGGATAATTGAATTTTTGAGTAGATTACCCAGAAGATTTAAAATTTAAAAGTTTCTAAAAAACAAAAAGGGCAAGGCAACTGCTTTTTTTGTGCCAATTGAACGTGATTTTTGTGTCTTTTGTATGCGTTGGTGGTGGAATGTTTCAAAGCAAAAACTCAACCAGAAACCCTTTCTTTTCTTTTTTGGATATCTCAATTCTTTGCTCTGGAAATAATTGGAATAAAAAACCATCGGAAATAGCTAAAAATTCGGAATTTATTGAACCAAGAGGTTTTTGAACCAATACTGGTTAATGCCTTGAGCATAGAGCACATTTTTTTAATGTGGCTAGAATGCGTGAAACATTTATTGATCTTTATCAGAAAAAATCTCCCTCGTTTGACTCGTTTGACAGCTAAAAATGAAGAATTGTAAATGCAAATAAGATCAAATGCCTAGTTTGCAATAAGGGCAAAGAGTGAGACTTTAAATAGTGTTAGTAAACCTTACCCATCCGATCCTCTCACATTGAGCAGAGCCATTAGATTTTCCAACACATCGTTCTCCAGCCGCCGTATCACAGGGCGGATCGCAAGAACCCCGTTTCATGCATTTTGATTCACCATCATTTATGCAAACCTCACCGGAAGCGCACGCGGGATTGCAATTCTTAAAATTCCTGTTGCCATGATTCATTTTTAACTTTAGAACCGTTTAAATTTTCAAAAGAAAGTTAGATAAACAGAGATATTCTGGGGTTTTCAATTGAATAACTCACCCGCAATGTCATTCGGCATTCCCATTTCTGATTTGGGCTAAGAAAACACGCCTCCCCAGGTGCACAAGGTGGATCACAGAAACCCTGAACCAATGTTGATTTACATATTGTTAAAGTAAGTCTGTCGATCAAGTACGGTAATTAAAGTAAAGGCATAAAGTAAAGCATATTCATCTAAATATGTATAAACGTCTACCAAAACGATTGTCCCAATCATTGACAAGAGAATCGCAGTTTTAAGGAACATTCTGTGACACTTTTTGTCTTTTTTTGTTTCACTTTCTGAACGACAATGCTTTATATTCAGGTATTTTTGACCAACAGACTACTCATAACTGAATAATAAGTGCTCAATAATAGTTTAAACCCAAATGCATCTAATTTTACTCTAATTTTTGTATAACATTGATATTTTTAACTGATCAAAGCTATTCTCGACTCTCGATGCTGTCTTTGAAGTTTTATTTAAAGAAAATTCATTCTCTGATTCTGCATTTTGTTATGTGGGTTCACTTTTATATTTTCTTCATAATAATAACAAAAATAATAGTCAAATGGAAATAAAAACAACTATGAAGGTATGCTAGATGACGATTGTTTCGAAGATCGCGAAAAATTCCTTTGGCGAGGAAAAAGAAAAGCTAGAATTACGCTAATCATAGCTAGAAATACGATAAAGACAATTATCATCGGAAAAACCAACAAGCTCTAAAAGTTGATAAAATCGGAGAAATTTTAGAGGCTGACAATCTTCTTTTGCTTGTCGAAGACAAAATTGTTGAGAAAAGTTTTCACGATGATCTTCTGGGGAAACATTATATCTTCATCCTCCGTAATTCTAGCTATGATTAGCAGATTTTTCCTTTTTCCTCGCCAAAGGAATTGTTCGCGATCTTCGAAACAATCGTCATTCTAGCATACCTTTCGTTTCATCAATTTTTCGTTCGGCATCAATCCACGTCGAAGAAGACTAGCTTTTGATAGCCGAAACTCGGAAAATGACTTTATTTTACCGGCTTTTTTGTTCAATCCAATCTAAGTGTAAAGAATCGAAAATACAAAATGGCTCATCAATTTTGAAAGTATGAAGAGGCAATAGCTGCTTGATTTTTTCCGGGAAATTTCCCCTTTTTTCAAGAAAGCTTTGGTCTCTTCGTTTTCGCAATGGTAAATAATATAAAAAGACAAATAGATTGATTGATCAGATTGATAAATGATAGATTGATTAAAAAAAGACTTTCTGGAATTGTATCGTTAATGCGCCAACGTTTCAAGCGTCTTAATGCACTCATCTTGAAAATTTCTTTCAAATCTTCCTGGCTGATTTTCCGTATCAAATCATATGCTAGTTTGAGCAAGGCCATAAATGAATTGAAGATGAATATTCAGATTTCAGAATGATTTTCTCTGTTATTAGCATTAAATATCAACTGTTTTGATGTGTAATTGTAAATGACAGATATATTTTTGAGACCTTTAAGGTGGTGTCCTCATAATTTGATACCACTATGCCTGCAGCAGAATGGGAGACCATTTTGCCTTGAGATTTTTCTAGCCGAGATCCAAAGATTTATTCAATAAATCGTGATATTTGAGCAGGTATTTGACGATGTTTTCTTCAGAAATTTGTTCTGATTTTAGTTTGATCGAGCCTTATGAAGAAAATATGACTAGGCAAAACCCAAAAACCCAAAACCCAAAAGAAAAGGAAACCCATTTCCTCGCTGCCGTGTGGCTCCATAAAGTCTCCACTTCAATAAACTTTCGAAAGTTTTTGCAGCAAAAACGTTTTAAGTGTCTTCTGATAAAGGAAATCGATTTTAAAGGTTTTACTATGTCTTAAAAGCAGCTGAGAAAAATAGATTTACTGATAAGCTCTCCATTCTCGTATTTACTTTTTTAAAATGATTCCTGAAGCTCTTTCAAATTTTTATTTCCGCCTAGATGAATTCGAGAAGAAACTCGAGATTCAGGCTGGCGGTTTTGGGAAAGTTTCCTACAATAAGTTGAACAAGTAGGTTTTAAAATCAAGCTTTCTAAAATTGTAGAAAATATTGCCAAAATTCACTTGTTAGGATTAGAATTTAGCCAAGATGTGGCCATAAAAATAATGAACGATCCGCAGGAGATTCTCCAAGAAGCAAATAAGCATAAACATGTTAAAGATTGCAAGTTTGAGGTAAGATTTGAATAAACTCTAAATGTAATCAAAGCCTTCAGATACTTGGAATCATTTTTAATGAGACTGATTCGCCGAAAGGTTTGGCACTTGAGTTGTGCTATTTGGGAACGCTTTATCAAGGTGATTTCGTAATTTCTTTGTATTATTGACTTTGAAAAGATTTTTTGCTTTTGCACAAGGCTCTGGATAAATCAGAATGTTTCAAAGTTCACAATGATGTCAGTTAGGCTTATCATTAAACCCATATCTTGAGTTTTTGCTTACATGTGACTTACATGTGACTTTGGGCTTTCTGTAGAACTGTCAGACTTTATCTTTTTACTGTGAATGAGTCAGAATATAAAGCTAGAATCTTTACTACTGAAAACACTGAAGAACTTCAGTAAAATGAATTGTAAATAAGATCTCTATAGTGATTGTGGGCTGGGAAGTGCATACACTTTACAACATCTCTCATATAGTCCTTTGGATGGAGCAATTGGCCACGGTGTTGCTCTACTTGAAAGAGAAAGAGCTCGTTCATCGGGACCTCAAGCCTCTCAAGTGAGATCAGGGAAAATGATGGAGTTGACAAAATTTCAGTATTCTGATGTTCGACAAATACCGCGAGATTCGCGTCTGTGATTTCGGCATCTCAGCCTGGGAAAAAACTGAAGTACAACTGGCGGGAACAGTCACCTTCATTGCGCCAAATTCGGTGAGCAAATTTTGTTGAAAAATCAAATGAAATAATGAATGAATGCTTGGGAAATGAAAAAACTGAAGGTTTGCCTTAATTGCACAGCATTGCTACACTTTTAAGAAACCAAAAATTCATCAATTTAGTCGACTCACTTGGCCGATCATCGAGATGACATGTACAGTGTGGGGATGATTCTGTGGCAACTCATCTTCAGAAAGTTTGCAGAGATTTCAAGTTATCTACAGAGTGGCTACAGAGATCTACATTATTTTAGATGCAAATCACTAGACAGAATAATTCATCGGATTGAGATCCGGCGAGCTGAGTGGCCATTCAGAAAAAGAGATGAAATCGGGAAACTTCACTTTACACAAAGCTTGGACTTTCTTTGTGCTCTGAAGCCCCGTTTTGTTGGAATGTCTAAATTTAATTTTTGAGTTCCTTTTCTGCTCAGTGCAAACTTTGGGGAGCGAGATAGTTAATAATAATAGACACGTATCCCATTGCCCACAGAGTGGCCCATTATTTTAGGTGCAAATCACTAGACTAGACAGAATAATCCATCGGATTGAGATCCGGCGAGCTGAGTGGCCATTCAGAAAAAGATATGAAATCGGGAAACTTCACTTTACACAAAGCTTAGACTTTCTTGGCTTTGTGCCCTGAAGCCCCGTTTTTTTGGAATGTCTAAATTTAATTTTTGAGTTCCTTTTTTTTTGAGTTCCTTTTCTTTGGGGAACGAGATAGTTAATAATAATAGACATAATAATATCCCATTGCCGCTAAGGTAGGGCCTTATGCCTTACTATATTATACGGAATCATCCCCACAATTATAGGTCACCCTAAAACTTTTTCATTATAGACATCCATATCTTGACTACAATGCTGAAAATCCGGCAATTGATAACGATGATGTGATGAAAAGAGTGGGGAATGGGGAAAGATTGCCGCTTGATGAGACACATTCATCCATTCAGGAAGTGATCTCGAGGTGAGATTCTCTAAGATTTGGATTGATTTGATTGATAGTCATTCAAGGTTTAAGAAAAGTACAGTTTTAAGAGATCTATAGAATAAATAGATCGATAAACCGATAGATTTCTTTCAGTTGTTGGGCTCATGAGAAGGATGAGCGTTTGAGTCCTCAAGAACTACACGACAAGATGGTTGAGTGGCGAGAGAAGGTGAGAATGCTTTTAACAATTCAAATTGGGCATTCCAGATCGGACTAATTTTAAGACTTTAATGCTATAAAATCGCATCTTATTATGGTAATACATAAAGTAGCTCCCTGAGATCACTACAAGATCGGTTTCAGATTAAAACATCGATGAAAAACCTGAAATCTCCGCGCCTCTTCAAAGAGCCCTACACCTTTGCCCGACCTCATGGAACGGTAAAATTGAGAAATTTTTGTGTCATTCAAAGTTTAAGAAGGTTCAATGGTTTCATCCAAAGATTTTTAATCTTATTGAACTTTAGTTTTCATGCACTCACATAAAGCTCGGTGCTGATTATCAAAAAGTAAAAGATCTCGGGTTCTGCGTTCCGAAATTTGCAAATCTCATTCACAATCCAAGAGACAGTTAGTTTTCAAAAAGGTTCCAAGTGAAAAAGTGGGTTCAGATCGTGATTGGCGTCTCAACAAAAGGATGATCGCTGAGCACAACAAATTGGTGACACGATGATCGGATGAATTAAAACAATTCTTTCCCTTATATTTCTCATTTTACAAACCGCATACCACGCATTTTTCCCGAAAATTCTTCGAGGGACTATCTTTATTTCGATTTCTTTGGCAATTCTTGCAATTTTTGTATATTTCACTTTGAATTATTCACCTGAAAACGATTGGTTCAACCAGAAAAAGTACATCAATCGACTCTGGAGAATCTACAAAAATTTGAAAAGAGACGATTCGATGCTTTTCTTATGATAAAATGATTATTGCAAAGAAATCTATGAAATTGAATTATCAACGTTGTCAAATTGAACGTGATATTGATTGAAGCCAGATCTAGAATCGAAAACATTTTCTGCGAATAACTAAAACCACTTTCCAAAACTAAACAAAATTTATTTCTTTGAACTTTTTATAACGATTTATTCATATAAGCCCATAATTTTTGCATGATTTAATAAAGTAAAGAATTGGCAAAGAAAAAAATGTGAATGGCAGAGAGTTTGGAACCCAATGGGGAATTGAACCTTCTGCTTACCGGGCAGATGCTCTACCATTGAGCTACCGGCGCCTTCTATACCACAGAAGAAATAAGAAAGACAAGGAAGAGAAAGAAAGAAAGAAGTTAAAAATCTGCTGGAATATTCCCAGTGGCATGTGGTCGGTAAAAGAGATGAAGCTGTGGAAATTCTAGCCATTCCTGTTTGATTTGAATCAAATGTTTCTTTGGATTTTGGTCAAGATCCCTAAATTCTTTTAAACACTCCGCTGGATCAACAGTGAAAAAATTGAGATCATAATCGAAACAGGGAATTCGTTCAAATTGTTGATAATTCCCTGGATGATCAAGGAGAACCACAAAATCTTTTGGCTTTCCGAAACGGGTTCTTTTTCGGGGATATTGTAGAAAATAGAAGTAATCAAGTTTATTTTTAGATGCTTCTGACAATGTCAGATTTAACTTCATAGAACGCCTTTGTGGTAAAGCCGGGAAATCCTTTATTCGATCATCTCCAAGCAATTGACAGAAATAGTTGAACAGTTCAATGTATTCTTTCAATGATTCGTCAGTACACTGATAATGATGTAACCCAAATTCTTTATTTGATTTTAGAAATTTCTCTAGATGATCAAGTTGCTTGAATGCTTCTAACCACCTAACTGAGAATTCAGCTCCAATATGAATCGGACACTCCGGTTCACATTTGCATTTCGGTGGCCTAGGTGGGTTTCGGAGCTGGAAAATGTAGCCAGGTATTGGAAAATCTTGCCCAATCGTTTTCAAAGTTTGCAGATTTTCTATCGAAACCCAACTTCTTATTTGGTTCAAAATCGTTTCTTCAATACTCTTTTTCACTTTGAGTAACCCTTCAATGACCATAAAATAGTCGATCGGTTCCCAAT